GTTAATTTCTGGATTCTCGATTCTGTTCCATTGATCTATGTACCTTTCATTGTACCAGTACCAAGCTGTTTTGACCACTGTAGCCATGTAGTAAATTTTGAAGTCAGGAGTGATAGGCCTCCAACAAGAATATTCTTATTCTTAAGCAGTGCTTTGCTTATCCTGGGTCTCAGAGTCTCTTGACATCTTGTTTTGCTCATTTCCTTCTTTCTTCTCTTAATGACTTTTTTTTTTTTTTTTTGAAGTTTTTATTTTGAATTCAGTGATAGTTTACGTGGGAGAACATCATCTTTACATTCATCCTATTGTATTTCATTTCATCGCAATGATTACAATCCCCTCCATGCATCATCAAACAATCAAAGGATACACCCTGCAAACCTGCTCCCTGGCTGTCAGCACACAACCCCTGTCCGTCCCTAAGTCCAGAGTCCCCAGCCACTCCATCTCTCCACGTCATCATTTCTGCCTCCATCTCTGTCATCAAGGCTTCTCTGGATAGGGTCCCGCACGCCATTCTTCTCTTTTGATGGTCCCAGGGTCCTCTGTTCCTGGACTGCAAAATGAACCACTCCCCTCCTTTTGTTACAAAATGTCTACCTTTACATTTGCAACACTCACAGTCAGTCCTGATAGCAGTTATTCACTATTGAAATACAAGAGTCTTATCCCCATCTCCTTTCATCAGCCCTGTCTAGAGAAGTTGGAAACCACCCAGTGGAGATTCTACCTTCCTCTGCACCCTCTGGAACTAGGCTCCCTCTTAAATGTTTGTAAGCCAGTCACTTCTTGCCTTTGTAGCTCCCCATTTTGGGTAACCAATGTCTTAAGTTGCCCATCCCTGTCAACCCTGTGTACCAAGGGTATGGGAACGATCCTTGCTGTAAAGATTTGTTCCTTCTTTTGAGCTACTACATCCATAAGTGTGGCCATGTCACTGTCTCTGGGCCCAACAGTCCCCAGGTCTTGCATTCTTGCTGGCCAACCAGGTCTCAACCCAGGTTCACAGGAGTCTATTGAACATGGTGGAACTTAGCTCACAACTTCATCTTAATGACCTTTTGCTTTCTTACTGTATGATGTTCTTGAAGTCATCCCACAACTCTGTTCTTGAGATTATCTCTAAATTAAGGTGGGATATGTTCAAGGTCAAATTTTGGCTCTTGTGGCCTTGTTTTAAATTTTGTTAGCTTCAGTCTGAACTTGCATATGAGCAATTGATGGTTAGTTCCAGAATCTGCCCTTGGCCTGGTTTTGGCTGATGATATGGAGATTTTCTATTATCTTTTCCCACAGGTATAATCATTTGATTTCTATGTATGCTGTCTGCTGAGGTACATATGTATAGTTGGCTGTCATGTTGTTTAAGAAAGGTATTTGCAACGTACAATTCATTGGTCATGCAAAATACTATCATGTTTTCTCCAGCTTCATTTTTATCATCAAGGCCACAAGAGCAACTAGTGCTCTTCCTCTTTGTTTCCAGCTTTTGCATTTCTGTGACCAGTAATGAGCAGTGCATCTTGATTTCATGTTTGATCAATTTCAGACAGAAGAAGTTGGTAGAATTCTTTAATTTCATCATCACTGGGTTTAGTGGTTGGTGTGTAAATTTGAATAATGGTGGTATTAACTGGGCTTCCCTGTAGATTTATGGATATTATGCTATCACAGACAGCATTATACTTCAGGATGGATTTTGAAATGTTATTTTTGATGATGAATGTGACATCATTCCTCTTCACTTTTATATTACCAACATAGTAAGCCATATGACTGTCAGATTAAAAATGAACAATACCAGTCCATTTTCAACTCAGGATATTGATCTTTATGTGTTCCATTTCATTTTTGACAACTTCCAATTTTCCTAGAGTCATACTTCATACATTTCATGTTCTAATTATTAATGAATATTTGCTGCTGTTTCGCCTCATTTTAAGTTGTGCCCCATCAACAATTGAAGATCCTGAAAGCTTTATTCCATTTGTGTTATCATGGAGACAGCTTTTCCCCAGTAGTATTTTGAGTGCCTTTTAACCTAAGGGGCTCATCTTCTGACACTGTATCTGACAGTATTCTGGTGCTGTACATTATGTTTCAATATTAAATATTCTGGTGCTATATGATAGTGTTCCACTGCTATTCATAATGTTTTAGTGGCTAAACATTCATAAGTAGTTGGTCTCTCCTTTTTCTTAGTCTGAATGTCTACCATGGGTATATCATGCTGGTATATAAAATAGCCAGTGAAATACCTTCCAGCATCACAGCAACATATAAGCCATCACAGTATGCCAAACTGACAGATGAGTGATGGGGTTTAAAACAAAATTGTAAGCGTTATGTGGATTTGGGTCCATGTCTTTTTATATACACATGAGTTGGTTAGCTTCCTTTCCCACCATAACTAAAGCCACTTTTTACAACCGAACAAGTTGATAATGAAGAAGGAAGGAACCAGAGATTATAGCTCACACAAAAGTACTGGTTGGTTGTACAGATTCAACCAGAACAGGTGACAACTCCATATGAAAGATGGAGGCTTACTTCAGATTTATCTACCTCTGTGGTAGAAGACTTGTGATACATCTATCTTTCAAATGGGTGATATAATGAGGATAATGATGCTAGGGGACCAGGCACTAGCTTTCCATTGACCTTCTGTTTTTTCTGCTTGTACTCCTCAGGTCTCAAACTGTGGCTTCCCAAGACCTACCCTCATATAGGATGGCTCCTCTACACTTGCTACTTGTGTTGCTGATAGCCTCCTGCTTTACCTTCTGCTACAGCCTTCAGAACCCAGTGAGTATCATATTGCAAGTGTGTGGGGTCAGAAAAAGTCGTGGTCACCAGGGCAGCTGTGGGAGTGGGGTGGGCATTTATCTCTCCTCCTTATAGGAATATGGCCAGAGCTGGGGATGTGACAAACTGTCTTGGCCCAGTTTATCATCATCAGCTTACCATTTACCAAGCACTATATTTAGTACTTTATATATACATCTGTTGTTGTTTTTAAGTGCTGTTGAATCTTTTCCGACCCATAGTCACCCTGTATAAGATTTCCAGGGAGCGGCAAGCTTTTTGAAGCATCCTCATAGTCTTACTTAATTCTCTCAACAACTCTTAAGAAATAGGCAGCTACAATTGTTATCTTCAATTTCTGATCTTAGCTCAGAGAGTTATTAAGTAACTTGGCCAAAATCACACAGCCAGTTTATAGCATAGCTGGAAGGTCTGAAGTCTTCTTAGGAGCTGGGTGCCTGTGTACTTCTTCCTCTGTCCCCTCTACCTGTGCTTTGTCAGTCTGTCTCTTCCTTAAGCCCTTTTCTCCTTATTCTTCCCAGGCCTCTCTTCATTGACCCAGACCTTTATTATCAGGGCTTCTGTCATTGCTATAGGCAGAGCCAAACAGCCTAGAAGGCCCTGCATTTGGCCGGACTGTAGCACACCAAGGCTCCTTGACCTGTTTCCCCAGCTTGTCCCAGCAACAGCCTGCCCTTGACCAGCTCAGTGCCCTCTGTTTTCACTTCCCTTGAGGAGCCCTGACTGTCAGCTCTCCAACAGTCTTACCCTCCCCCACTCCACCTTCCCCAACCCCCAGGGCTCTTGCTAAATGTTGGATAAAGCACTGGAGGCTTTGGAGCAGGAGGCCCTTGAAGTGCAAATGACAATTGTGATGAATTTAATAATAATCCAGCTCAGCTGAGGTTCACCTCTGGCTTGTGGCAAGCTTCCACCTTCCCTCTGAAGTCATTTGTTTTCACTCTGCCTTCCTCCCGACTCTATGGCATTTGAGAGAATGTACAGTTGGGAATCACGATCCTTTTTGAGCTTTTAATGTTCTCTAAGATCCTGTTGGTGCCTTTCTTTGGCCTCTTTTTCAAGGGCACTGAGAATGGGATCCCACCAGCCCCCAAGGGTAGGACTGGTCACAGTATGAGGTTGAAACAGTCTCTGGAGTAGCCTAGTTTTGGAATGACCCAGAAAAGCACCCATGAGTCTCAAGGGAGATCAGGGCTGTGTCCTCTCCCCAACCTCCAGCTCATGAGGTACTCGGTGCTTCCCATCATGAGCTTTAGCAGATGCACAATTAACAAAAGCGTGCTGATGAATTTACTTAAGGACCGTGTGTTAGTAAGTCCCTTTTGGATAATAGTCCAACAAAATAGATGAGCTTTCAGAGCCATAATTATTCTGGCCCATTTATATTAGCTCTATTGAGTCTAGTCTCAGAAAAAATGTTAATACTGACTTTCATCAACAGAAGCTGCTTTTATCCTTATGTCTGTTCCTAAACTGTATCCATTTGTCATAATCTTTCATCATGTGCTAAGCACAAGTAGGAGTTGAAGCATCTTTTCTCTCATGCCATAAAAAGTGCTGCCCTGATGGCATTTAAAACCCAAATTATGCAGCCAGCCACCTTTACAATAGGGAAAACATGGGGGTAGGAGGAGACTTATCCATTTTTCAGAGCCTGGAGACCAAGCAAATGGTCCTGATGACCCAGAATAGTCCTTTCCTAAGGCATTTGTGCAGTTTAGTGCTGTGGGACAAAGCACTGGACTGGAAGCTTGGTTTGAACCCCAAGGTTGGCAGTTCAAACTTACTAGCTGCTCCTTGGAAACCCTATACAGGGTTGCTATAAGTTGGAACCAACACGACAGCACTTAACAGCAGCAGCAACAAGGCATTTGTGTGGAGTCCTGGTGTGGTGGTATAGGATAAACTTTGGAATACTAACCACCAGCTTGATAGTTAAAACCCTCCTTAGAAACCCTCAATGGCACTTAACAATAACAGCAACAACAACAATAAGGCATTTGTGTGGAGTCCTGGTGTGGTGCTATAGGATAAACTTTGGAATACTAACCACCAGCTTGATAGTTAAAACCCTCCTTAGAAACCCTATACAGAGTCGCTATGAGTTGGAACCAACTCAATGGCACTTAACAATAACAGCAACAACAACAATAAGGCATTTGTGTAGTTTGATAGCCACTCAGGAAAGGTTGGCTGGACCTACCAGGTTGTTATCTAGAGCTGTCTTCCTTTCCTGGGATGCCCTTCTCTGGAATGCCACATCTCAGGGGTGGAAAGGATGCTGCAGGGCTTGGCTTGTGTGGTATTTGCCTTCAAAGAGGTGAAGAGTGAGGGAGTGTAGGCTTCCCAGCTGAAGGAACACAAGCTCTAGTTAAACCCTATATTGCTACCTATCTGTCAAGTTATTAGCCATTATCTTATCTTCCTGTCCTCATCTGTAAAACAGAGTTGGCACCTCCCTCTTAAGATTTTAGTATAAATTAAATGTGATTGTTTATGTAATGAATAGCATTCATAGGGACTGGCACAGTATGGTCAATGGGTGTCAATCAGTGTAAGCTATTCTTTTTAGGAAGGAGGTGATGGCTTCTTTGGTATATTTTGGGATGGTGTCAAGCAGGGCACTTCTTTAGTATGTCTTTATCAGCCCACCATTTTTAAATCCCTTCATTTTCTTGGATTTTGAGGGCTATGGTCTTTAAGAATCTCTTATTCAGATACAAGTGCAAGGATGTGTGATGTGGTAAGCTGTTGTCAGTTAACACCTTAGCTGGAACTTTTTGGCAGTCGGTTGAGTGGTTGAGCGGAAATTGGTACTTAGAGTGATGGTGGTAGGAAAAAAGAGAGTGCCGGGGATCCAGGATGGGAGGGAGCCCTTCTCAAAACCAGCTGGGAAGGCACTAGAAAGAGCATGGGTCTTAATTCAGAGTTGACTAAGGGCTGGTCTGCCTCTTTCATCTCTTGGTCTTTTCCTCCTGTTAAGGACTTTGCCTGGACAGAGAGGCGGGTCTTCCTTGTCCGTTTTCTGGGACTGTGGCTTTTCATCATTCGCATGGGAGTCTGCTTGGGGTGGGGGTGTGCTGCTAAATGTGTAAGGTAATCTCATTGCCCCAGCTTCATTCTCGCTGCAGCTGGTGTAACCGTTAGTCCATACGCCCAAAAGCAAAACACAAATTGAGTCTAAATTCATACATGGACTTTGAAGAGTCCATGGATAAGACCTGCACTGCAGTCTTTTCCCTGCTCTCCTTAGCTTTGTGATTTTGAACAGGTCTTATATTCATTCTCATCTATAAAATGGGAATAATAAGAAGACGTACTCATATCCTAGGTGAGACTAGGATGAGTTGAGGAATGGGGGACACTTAGCCAGTGTCCGTATATTGTTGTTGTTAAGTGCCCTCAAGTCAGTTCCAGCTCATAGGAAGTGCTTAGTAAATGGTAAACTGTTCTGCCTGTGGTATGTTCATATGACCCTCCCAGGGTGCTGCTGAGTTCTTGCTTGGCCTTTGAGGATGGCCAGATGTGATTTGGACAGTTTCCTTAGACTTGCACTTACAGCCATATCTGATGAATTGGGTGGGCTATCTAGATAGGGGAACACTTGCATTACCCCTACTAAGCGAAAGGTTTGGTGATTTCTGCATCATTCAATAATTTGCTCAAATAATCCTTCAATAACGAAAATTGAGGCTTGAATTTTTTCTTCAGTTACCCTAGCTTGTGAAATGCTGGGCATGTTCTTCTTCTTTTTTGGTGTTCTGAATCCAGATCTTTGCACATTGTTATTGAATGATGCAGAAAGCATCAGATGAAGATGGAAGCAATACACAGTCACCGTTTCAAAAAGTAGCATATGATCAAGAGCCAATGATACTGAAGGAGGAAGTCCAAGGTACATTGAAGGAATTGGCAAAGAACAAGGCACCAGGAATTGATGGAATA